AAAGATTTTCACAGTTATTGTAGTATAACTTATTTTTCATGTTCAAGATTGATATTTTTTTTCAGTTAAAATCTTATAAAAACTACATCTAATATTTAAAATCTCAACTGTGGAATCCAAGTATGTTTGGTGATTTACTTTTAAATTTATAATAAATGTTAATTTTTCAAATTAATGAGTTTGATGAGATTTCCCATTTGAAATAGGAGTTGAAGCTTATTAGTTGGATGTTAAATGTGGACAAAGAAGTTATGAGTGGAATAAAGGAACTTAAATAGCAAGAGTTCATGGAAGCTAAAGGTCAAACTTCACTCCATTTGTCGGTGAAAGAATGAAGCTTTGATCTTGAAAAGGGAAAAATGAAAAAGCTACACAACTAGTTCCTAAGTAGGGTCCAATGCATAAATAAAGATAGATACCATTCCTCACCCAATTTGCAAGTCTCTTCCTTTTTTTTCCAAAATGAAGTGGGAAACCAATGAAAGATAACTTTACCCATCAAACCTTTGAAACCAGACAACAAGCAAGGAATCTCATCTTATCCTATTCATCCAAATCCTTTAATCTAAATTCCACAAGTTAACATAATCACTTAAATACATCTAAAATTACCTAAAAATATATGCTTATGTAATTTTATATACACAAATATACCTTCAAGTTAATTAGTTAATCCTTTCAAAAGAATTATTTTTTAGTTAACTCTACATAGTTAAGTTTTTTAAAATAAAAATATTTTTTACTACAGAATAAATAACGTGATAAATCAAAATAGGCCTTTAAAAAAAGGCTATTGGAATAAAATAAAAATCAACAAATTACAAACTCAAATACTATCCTAAATCACTAATAAAAAAATGGTAAAATATTGAAATAAAATTATTTATCATAATTTTTATATGTTAATCAAATAAATGATAAAATAATTATTTAAGACTACACTTAAGTTCACCGGCAAATACTTTTAAAATGTCTCCTTGTCGGTTCAATTAATATAATCTAAATTTCTGACATAAATCTGTTGGTTACATAAGCATTAAAGATCTGATGAGTGATCTTTTCAGTGCTTTGAGAAAAAAAAATAATAGTTGCACAATTATTGCGTGTTACTTGGGTTTTTGATGAAATAATATATAATAAATATTAATTATATTTAAATTAATAAATTTGTAGATTTTTTTATTTATTATTTTTATTTAATATAAAATTTTTATGAAAACAATAAGGGGGAAGTTGATGGAAATGTCTCTACATTCCTAATAGATGATTTTGACGATGATTCAAGTCAACTACATTCAAGTCAACACCATTCAAGATGAATTAAGGACAAGCTGAATTTAAAACATTGGTGAAAATGTGAAACATTTCCTTACATGCTCAAGATATGTTTTTGATAAAGATGATGATTCAAGCAAGCATAAAATGATTCCTGAAGACTAGATAGAGTCTTATAATACTAGATATAGAGGTACAAGTTGATGAAGTAATATTATGCATAAGCCTCCAAAGCACAATTGTGATAAAATTCATAACATGATATTTTTCTCTGTCATAATCAATTATGATGCATCAGAAATAAAAAAATGATTTTCTCTGCCATAATTGATTATACTGGTAATATAATGATTATGACAATTCAAATTTGAAAAATATATCCGTTTTAAAGAATAAATATTTTTGAATACATCTTGATTTTCTCTATGATATTATTAATGTCCAACGATCATTTTCTGATGCTATTTTTCTATTTAACTAAGTTTTGATGAAAAATAAAAAATACACACAATTACAGAATTCGAAAATACAATTTACATTCAATCAGTCTTGAGAAAAGAATTCTGAGCAAGACAACATAAATATTTTACACCTTCTAAGAAAACCCTATTCTCTACTGCCTTCTGTGCTTTCATTGTTAATCACACTTGTTCTTGAAGATTGACATTCTATAGGCTTCTACAGTTTGTTGTCTCCATTACCCAGGTGTGACTGTTCTTGTTTTTATTACCTTTATCTTTTGTGTATTGGTAGCAAATGAGATATTTTTCATCTCTAGTGTGATTCTAGGGAGGTGTTCATCCTTAGTGAGATTCTAAGGAAATATTTTCATCATTTGATTTGTTCAAATGAGGTTTTCATCCTTAGTGTGATTTTAGGGAGTTGTTCATCCTTAGTGGGATTCTAAAGAGGTGTTTTTTTCATCCTTTGATTTGTTCAAAGGAGGTGTTTATCCCTAGTGGGATTCTAAGGAAGTGTTCATCCTTAGTGGGTTTCTAAGGAGGTGATTGTCATTTTAATTAGTTTACTTTTTACTGGTTCTTCTGCTAAGTTGATTGTAATTTGTAAACTGAATTTGAAAGATAGTGAATTGGGAGTCACTCTTATGTTAAGAGTTGACTGAGAACTGGATGTAGGGTTAAATATACCCGAATCAGTATAAATATTTGTGTGCTCTTCTCTTTCCCTTATCTCTTTCTCTTTTCCTGATTATATTATCGTTTCCGCTTTATCTGTATTCAAACAAATTATTGACTCACAAATAAATTTTTAATTTGATGTCTATTTTAATTTGTGCCTCTATTCACCCCTCTAGATATTATTTGTCTAACATTTTATTCATATTTAAATTCTTAATCACAAGTATATCGAGTGAGATGATTCTTAGTTATGCTATTTATTAATTAGATTTTGATATTATTATTAATTTTTTTAAAAGAGGTTATCTGTTGGACTATTGGAGAGAATAATTTTTTTATGAAAAGATAATATAAATGAAATATAAGATTTTTAATCTAAAATAAAGATGATATCAATAGGTTAAATTTATGTTTTATTAATGTTATATATTTTGAGTAAATATTTTTACAAAATATTCAATATTAACATCACATTATTTATAAATTTAATAAAAAAATTAAAATCATTATTTTTTTTAAATTAGACGCACAGGTTGATTCTAAATAATTAATTTTTAATTAAACTTGGACAAAGTTAATTAAATTTTTAAATTAAATCAATTTTAATAAAAAAAAATTAAAATCATAAATTTTCAATATAATTTTTTATAAATATAATATATATATATATATATATATATATATATATTTATTTATCTTATATTAATTATGTCAATTTTAAATAATAATTATTTTTCTTATCTCTTTAATATATTTTAAATTTATAATATTTATTATAATTTATAATAATTATGATAACATCTTTTATTATTTGTAAAAATATAATATTATTAATAAATTTATTGTATTTATTATATTATAAAAATATTATTTTATTAAATTTAATTGAATTAAATATTTAAATTTTAAACTCGTAATTTCACGATTTAATGATTAATTTAATTTTAAAAATATTAAAAATAATCTTATATAAGAATATGATTTCTTATTATATATATATATATATATATATATATATATATTAAAATTTAAGATTTGTGAGTTATTTTTATTTATACGTTGTTAAGTTTATTATTTTTATCCCATAGGAAACTTTTATTCAATTCACTTCTAACAATGATTTGACTGTAGCAACATAATAAATTTTTAAAAAAATAAGATTTATTTTTTTGAATTGGTTCATGAAACATGTTAAATTTAGATACTTTTCGTCTAAGAGAATCATAAGTTTATTATTAATATAAGTGTGTTACTACAAATTTGATTATTTATCTTGAATATTATGGGGATGTGTAAGCTGAAACAAGAAAAATGAATAATAAGATAGAGAAGAATATGTGAAGGTTTCTAGAAGAGATGAAAATTCAATAGAAATACAATTATGAGAAGAGTGATGGTGAAATGAGGTGAGAGCATTTTCATTTCCATTTTGGATTTTTGTTTCGCTTCATTTCCTTTGCTCTTATCTCATACGTAGGCCCCACTATTACTTTCAATATGTCAATCCTATCTTGCCAAACCATTTTTCTGTCTATTCTATTAACATTTTTTTTTCAAAATATCTGATTCACACATATTATTATTTTTTATCCAAAATGTAAACAAATATCACGACAAACATAACTAAAGTAAGACATTTAGAAGAAAAATTCATTCTAAATTAAAATAATTTAGTTGCCAATAATTTGCCTCATATATAAAATAAAAACATCAGAATTATGAAATTTAACATAACCGTTGCTTTCAATGCACATCCCTACTTTTTATGTTTGCCAGTTGCCAGTTAAAACCTTCTAGAAGACCCATGATTTTAGCGTTATTTTATTTCCACAAGCATATTTTTAAACTGGAAAATGATTTGCGGACACTGTTTAACTGATCTGGAGAGGGACAAGGAAAAGATTGATAATATGACAAAAATAGTAAAAAAAAAAACAAAAAAAAAAAGGAGAATATGCATGGTATCAGCTATTTTATAATTAGAAATATGAATAGACACAACAGAGTTATTTTTTAATGAAAAAAGAGTCATAATCGAGTACAGATGAATTATTGGAATGAAGAAAAAATAATATTTATTAAGGCGTGATTTTTGTTGTGTTGTTGGGAAAAATAGAAAACAGTGATTGGTTGTGGTGGGAAGCAAAAGTGACGATGGTCCATGCTAGCTTTCAATGCTCACCCCTGGTTCCATCTTTTTTCTGTTAGCAAGTAGCCGGTTTCTGAAAACCTTCTAGAAGACCCACCGTTTTTATAATTATAATTTTAAGTTTAATTTTGTTCACAAATCTCAAAATCACCCAAAACTTATCTGGAACAGCATGTGCGACCCATTGGTTGTAGTTCCTATAAAGCCCTCTTTCTCTCGTACGCTTCTCCACACTCACTCTGCTTCGCACTTGAAGATTCTCCTTTTTCAAATATCAACTTTTTCCCGTAAACCCAAACAAACCCTTATTCCTCTCATCGTAAACCTCTTTCACCCTTTCTCTCTGGGATCTCTCAATCCTGTTGCTGTTCATGGGATTTCACTGATTCAATAACACAAAACATTCATCTTTCGGTTTCCTTCTGTTCTGTTTTGCTATGGAGTTGATTTCAGGTCTGCCAGAGGACGTTGCCCGAGACTGTTTAATTAGGGTACCGTACGAGAAATTCGCAGCGGTTGCATCTGTCTGCAAAGGCTGGAACTTGGAGATTCACTCGCCGGAGTTTCACCGGCGGAGGAGAACAACGAAACACGCACAGAAAATCCTCGTCACGGTTCAATCACAGATAGACTCGGAAAAAACCCGAACCGGCATGCTCGCGAAGTCCTCAGCGAATCCGGTTTACCGGTTGAGCGTGTTCGAGCCGGAGACGGGTATGTGGAGCGAGTTGCCCTTAGGACCCGAACTCGCTTCCGGGTTGCCCATGTTCTGTCAGATAGCGGGTGTCGGGTGCGAGCTTGTGGTAATGGGCGGGTGGGACCCAGATTCGTGGAAAGCTTCGAATTCGGTTTTTATCTACAATTTCCTGTCGGCCAAGTGGCGGCGTGGGGCCGACATGCCGGGTGGGCCCCGCACGTTCTTCGCGTGCGCGGCGGATCAAGATCGCACGGTGTACGTCGCGGGCGGGCACGACGAGGAGAAGAACGCGCTGAGGTCAGCGCTTGCGTATGACGTGGCGAACGACGTGTGGGTCGCGCTCCCGGACATGTCCCGCGAGCGCGACGAGTGCAAGGCTGTGTTCCGCCGCGGCGCGCTCTGGGTGGTCGGAGGCTACTGCACGGAGATGCAGGGGCGGTTCGAGGGGAGCGCGGAGGTGTTCGACGTAGCGTCGTGGAGGTGGGGCCCGGTGGCGGAGGAGTTCTTGGATGCAGCCGCGTGTCCTCGCACCTGCGTGGACGGTGGGGATGGTGCGGAAGGGGAAATGTACATGTGCCGCGGCGGCGACGTGGTGGTGTTGCGAGGGGACACGTGGCGAAAGGTGGCAAAGGTGCCGGGTGAGATCCGGAACGTTGCGTGCGTGGGAGTGTGGGAAGGGGCTTTGTTTGTTATTGGGTCGAGTGGGTTCGGGGAACCGCATATGGGCTTTGTGTTGGATCTGAAAACTGGGGCTTGGGCCCGAGTGAAGAGTCCAGAGGAGTACACCGGGCACGTGCAATGTAGTTGCCTTTTGGAAATCTAGTTTCTGAGTTTTGTTTGGGGGAGTTCGTGTAAATAGATTATATGAAGCAACATTTTTGTTTTCTTTGGTTGCTTTGCTTACTACTCGAAAGCTTCATCATTTTTAGTTTAAGCTTCAGCTTTTATGGACTTGTATTGTACATATATGAAGACTTTACCCTTTCTTTTGGGTTTGAAACTTCCATCATATATGAAGAGGGAAAATGTAACCATTTGAAGATATGCAATTTCAAAAAGGAACCAAAACACTTCATTCAAGTTTTGCCTGAAAAAATAATGTCTTCTTTTTCTTTACAAAATTCTTGGGTCCCTCTCAATCGATCAATTTGTTTGTTATACTTATTGCTCAAATAGATACTTTTGTCTATTCTAACCTTTGTCTTACACTTGCACATTTTAGAATGCTTAAATTCCTTATCAATCAATTTTTTTTTTGTTTTTTTTTCCCATCTAAAATAAATTACAACCGTCCATCAGCTTAAGGCTATTATTATTTAAAGTGTGACCATTGATTTTATAAAGATGATTATCCTTTTTCAAAATTATTCCTAAAATATAACTTATTCTTTCTTTTTACATGAATATTTTCAACAAAACCAAATTTCTTAATTTTCTATAACCTATACGGTTTTCAGTTAAATTATTACCTGTTTCAATTTGTTTTTCGCATGAAGTAACTATTTATGCAATTGTTATTATTAAACTTTTACTTTAATTTATAAAAAATAAAAAGGAAATTATTTCATTTTGTATACTTTTTGCAATTACTATTAGAAAACAAATAATTCACTTATAAATACCTATTAATAATGAAAATAATTAATATGAATATTAAATTTTGAATAAGCGAAGATAAAAAAAGGTGGAGTTTTTATGAACCCCATTAAACTCTATCGCTTTCCAAGCAAAGATGAGGTTACGTACAAGGCTCTTCAACACGATGATGTCCGATTAAGCAAAATAATTAGTGTAATATCCTGATTAGTATCTATCTTAATTATGATTAAAAATGTCATAATTTGCACCCTTTCTGCCACTGCAGATTCAATAAAGAAGTCTTTACTTTTTGTCCATATACTCGTTTAGTTATTGATAGGTTTACTTCCATAAATAAATATCTTCCTTTTTATTAAAGGAGGATATAAATTCCCTCAAAATGTGTCTGTAAGAGTCAAGTCTCAACAAGTTGCGTTCTTCAACATTCTTACAATACTGACTGATGTAACATTTGAGATAAGAAGCAATAATAAGAAGAAGCAATAATAAGAAGCTGAATCATTCTCCACATTTCAAAATTCAACTTCTAACATTTATTAAATTATAAAATCAAATAACAAACTTAAAAAAATGTATGGATCTGCATCACTGTGCATATATTTTTTTTAACTATAGGTGATCCTGATCCTAAGAAGCCGTGAGCACAATGCACTCCATTTTGAGTTCTTGATGATCAATTGGAATATGCTTTATTTTAGTTGCTTCTGTCCCTTTTATTGAAACATCTTCCGTTGCATGATTTGTTGTAATTTGCTCTAATCCTTCAGCCTCTTCGGATTTTTCTGTCAGATTCTGCTTGGAAATTCTCTTAAATTCTTTACCTTCGCCCCACAAGACAATGTATAGCCCCCAATATAATAAAAAATGATCCTATTATGCTGTAATTTAGAACCAAAAAACATGGATCAGTTTATATATACACCAATCAATAAGACATGAGAAATGAATGATACAAATTAATGAATGTTTGAACCTTCCCCAATAGAGCTTTTCATCCAGTAGGAGAGTCTGCAATGGTGACTGGAATTAGGAAGAGAGGGTTGAAAGCCGCAGCGTAAAGTGGGCCTTTTAAGCGCACGCCTCCAACGAGTCCAATGATGATTTCATTCCATCAATAGAGCATAAGTCATTGATAGAATGCATGCCATCACTGACATCAAAGCAGCACTTGTGTAATGCCAAAGAAATATTAGGATATACAATCATGTGTTATTCATATATGACAAATTCATTATGTCTTGCTTTTCCCATCATATATTTATGCATAATGTGACTGTCAAGAACAGATACAAACCGTTACCCACGGTAAGGCCATGTGAGTTTAATCCTTCATTGATTCGAATAGTGGTGTCAAGGAAGTAACCATTGTTTCTGTCGTGCTCGATTGAAAAATACAGTTTCACTTTCATTGAACACGTTAGTTTTACTTAAATTTTTTGTTACCATAAAGTTTATTGATTTGGGCTGAAACAGATGTATATTGCTTTCAGGAACAATATTTATTTATTTCCCAAATAAAGAAAACAAAAAGGCTGGTAATCTTTCCCATAAATTGGACTCAATATGGTTTGTGCAATCTAATAAAAGAATGGGAGTATTGCATTGCTAGTACCAAACAATTATTTCTATCACTCATGAGCTTCTCATGCACCTGACAATAACCTCTACAAATTTATTATACATGTGTTGCTTCAAATACATCCTCTGCACCTTCTTTCTTCCTTCCACTCCCATTTGCTTCCTTGCCAACTGGTTTTTGAGTAAAAACCGAAGATTCTGTGAGAGAACAAGATTCCCTGGATGTCCAACAGGATGAAGAAGACCTGTAACATTGTGCTCAATAATCTCCTGTGTTCCCCCAGCTTCCGTGCCAAGAACCTACTCCACAGACAACGCACATGTAAATAAAAAGAAGCAAAGAAAATATCATTGATCCCACACTGTATCCATCCCCCAATTGCCTTTTATTTTTAGGACACTGTTACATGAATATGCTTCAGCGAGATCTGAGTTTAAGGAGAAAATGTAGTCATACCGGAAGACCAAACGCCATTGCTTCTATAGTCACACGCCCAAATGTTTCTCCTAGCCCCTGTTCACCATTTTGCTAATTAGCAACAACTTTGCATACTAGAGGATAGTTCTTTCTACAATAATGTTGGTTGTAAAATGAAATGTTTTTTTATCATGTTTCACAAAAAACGGCCAAAAACTGGATTCACAGTTATTTGCAATAATTTCATTGCAAATTCTTTGTAAATCTTATTTTTGATAGATGGAGAAAACTAAACAGGCTGCAAATTCAAGTCATCAAGATAATACGAGAATCCAAAACGAAAAAGAAAAAATATACATTTCATCTACCCCAACAAGTAACTTATTATGATATCATGATAATATTTCAAACATACTGAAACAATGTTGCCATTTACGAATAGCTTTGTTTGGAACTACATTATATAATGGATGTAAGATGTAAACTGGATTCATAACCACATGCACAATCAAACTATGTATTTATGTATGAAGATTTCATGACTACTTCACAAATAATTTAACCTTTACCTGAGAGTTTATAACATAAACATCGGCAGCAGAGTAAAGTGAGGCAACCCGAGTTGTGGATGGAGTCCAAAAAATTGATTTTGAGATGTTTGGATGTTGTTCTAAGAAACTTAGAAGACTTTTAACATACTCCGCCTTGTTACTCTTTGATCTAACAGAACCAATAAGAAGTTTGAGATATTGTTGAATTGTTCCTTTGTCATTAGGTAAAACTTGTTTCCTCCTGCGAATGTCAAAATTCTCATGATCAGGGCAACATATAAAAATTGGATACTACACAACTATCAAGATATAAAACTTCCTTATCAGATCCGTGTAACCTGCTTAAAGAATTGCTTGAAATTTCATTGGAAGCTACTTTTCCATTCTTCAACAACGGCAACAATTTTCTAATACGATGCTTTCTAGCCAGAGTAGATATGCCTTCCTTTATATTTGATACTTTTTTTATTTTCTTATCATCTTGCAACCGTCCTTGCTCAAGTACCGAGCTTACTGATTCAAGAAGCAATAGCTGGCCCTTCCCAGGGTTGATGCTACTAAGAGATATTACAAGCATGTCATTATCATTTAGGCCCATTTCTTTTCGGACTGATTCTCGCAATAACTGCCTTTTCTCAACCATTTTCTCAGTACTAAAGGATGGAGTGTTAAGTGTGGAAGGAATACCAGCTACAAACGCCAGCTCATCATTAACAGACAATGGAACAATTTCAGGGTAGGATCTCAGTTTTATGCTTTCCTCTTCACACCACTTCTGCCACTGTTTAGATTGTGATTCAGAAAGAAAAACCAACATTTTTACTCTGTCCAATACATCTTTTGATCGATCAAAGTACTCTCGTCGATTTTCCATAATCCACCAGGCAACTTGGCTTGCACCAGCAGGAAAACGTTCGATATATTGTTCTGGAAACATATGAAAAGATAATTATTCTATTGAGAGAAATGGAATTAAAAACGCACATTGACAAATTACAAACTACAACAATATTTACACCAGACTTCAACTTGATAAGAGTAGAAGATTCCAATAAACCAATAAAGCAATATGCATACCTCCATGTACAATCAAACTCAATTATTTTATCAATTTCCATTGTTCAAACTTCAAATAATTAAAAGGTTAGAAGTTTCTATCTACATGCAGGAAGTGAGGCCCGTTAGTGAGTATCCTCTGCGAATGCCATTTAAGGTGACAATCAAATTGTATAGTATTGCATCTTTGAATGACAGGTTTAGAAATAAAAGTGCTAAACCAATAAAAGTGCTGAACCATGATGCACAGACAGCTGAACCAATAATTCTAGAATTATATAGTATTACCAATCCATGATGCACAGACAGCTGAACCAGCAATGACAAGATCAGCCTTCATTGCAGTTTTGAAGCTGAGATCAGCTTTGTCCTCAAGCACCTTGATCCGTCTCCTAGCAAGCTCTGACATCAAACCACCTTTCTTGCTAAGCACAACAGCTGAAACCGAAGCCCCACAGCTCAAAAGTTCTGTTGCCAACTCCATCATTGAAAGTGGAGCTCCAGTCATGGAAAGCTCATGGAATATCAAGATAAATCTTCTGGACCAAACCATACGTGCAAAGTCCCCCTTCCTGTTACATGTCCCAGAACGTCTCTCTGGACTCCATTCCAGAATCCTATCCTCCATTGGGCCAAACGGACCAACAAGCAATCCATATGTACTATTGTTTGTAGGAATTTCTGGCTCCTTCTCCTCTATATCACCGTTCTTAACTTCTGTAGTTGGTTTCAGCTTACGACTTGATTTACCTTTCAAAGCACGTCTTCTCTTGCTCCTCTTCTTTGAGCTTGTTTTACGATGAGATGGAACATCATTGCCTTTCTTGGCCAAAGCTACATTTATAGTTTTACTAGTCCCTGCTATATTAGCATCAGTCTCATTGTTAGCAGACAATGAACTATGATTAGCAAGCAAATCACGACGCTGAACCTGTTCAGCGTCTGAGCCAGTATTTCGCGGCCCAGTTCCAAAGCCAGAAAATTCCTCCTTCTTATCACTATGAGCCCATCTGGACTGAACAAAAAATCCAAGATAAGCCCAGAGGGTAATTAGAAGCAACCAAAGAAGTAAACGATTGCTCCGAAACCACAGTGTGCCGCCTACACTGCTCCTTCCTTCCTTTCTTGGTGTGCGGCCAGAATTCAGTCGCCGAAATGAAGGCGAATTTCGCGGAGTTGATCTTCCTGATAACGTTGATTTAACACTGCCACCTAATCTCAATGAAGTCTGTTTAGCCAAATTAGGCTGAAATTCCCCTCTATTGATGGTTTCCTCCATTAGCTTCTTCAACTATCATATCACTAAAAAAACCTCACTCTACTCTCTTCTAGGGATCGTTCCTCACAGGAAATCCAACCACAACCCTCCAAGAACGTTTCAAGCTCGAACAGTAGTTTTCTGAATTCACCACACAAAAGAAGTAAGCTAGACAGACAACAAGATTTAATTTCTCCATCATAATTCATCCAAAGAGAAAGAAAGAAAGCATTTTTGCAAGTTGGTTCAGGTATTCTTGTTATTCCCTTCCCTAGACTCTCAAGATCGCTCCCCTCATCGTCCTAACAAAATCACTGGAAGTAAAAGAATACAATTTTATTTAACTGTTAGTTAAAAAAGAGTTGGGTTTGTTTCTATTTATTAATTCCAAACCAATAAAAAGGAAACACATAAATGAGGTATAGCTACTTAACCAAGAAACCCATGGCGTAAAAATGGCAAAATAGCAGTGTGAAGAGAAAATAGAGATGAGAAGAAAAGAGCATTACATGGATAGTTGAAGATCTGTGCATGATTGAGTTTGAAGAGGGATTCTTGAAGAAGTTGGTTCCACAATTGAACAGAGTTGAAGCTTCTTTCAACACCTTCTATGCACACTTTGAATAGCTCAGAGATAGAGAGAGAAAGTTGGCAGTGACAGTGAGAAGGTTGGAGAGTTAATTTAGGGAGAAAGAAAGAAACAATTACAATACACGTGCGTCCTTCACACACGTGCCATCTTTCTCAATTTCACTCCCACGGTCACTACACTGCTGCGTCGGTAGTCTCACCCTGAGAGTCTGGCCGTTGGACCAATCCAACGGTCTCTTTGCGGTTTGACCCGGGTCCCACCCCTTTGACTTTTATTGTTTTTTCTGTCATTCAATTAGCAAGAAACTGACTTTAGATTTTTTTTTTCTTAATTATTTAGCATATTAAAACTTGTTAATTATACAATAAATTACAAGACTCTCTCTTGTTCGTGAATTTCATTTTTCATGCGACTTCTTGGAACCTATAGTAAAACTTTTTATTATTGGAACAGTATTACACAATCACCTTTTAAATATTATATTAATCTATCTTTATTTATTTTAAAAATATCACGTCTACTCTCCTAAAATGATTATTGTATGCATTAGAAAAATAGAGATATAATCAATTTCATCATTTGAAATTATAATGTGTATTTATTATTAGGTTTTTCATCAAAATAATTCGTGATTGGTTAAATGGTTCATTTATTGCTGTGTTTGAAGTTTTCAGTCTCACTTGACAAGTAATAAAAACATTTTACTTTTTAGTTTAAGTATAAATTTTATCTATCTACTTTATAAAGTCCCTGCTTTAGTTTAATTCGTAACTTCAGTTCAATGATTACTTTCATGTATATTTTGATTTTGATTATATCGAACTCTAGTCTAACATATTCATTGAACATGGCATTTGAATACATTAACCATAATAGATAAAAATAAATAAAAAATTATGAAATTATAAAATGAAGAGACTAAATATATTTGTTTTAAAATTACATATTAAACCATTTTTTATTCAGGTCAGAGTAAAACATTATCAATTGATTTGTAACGCCAAAATATTCCTAAAATTTTTTGTAACGCCAAAAGTAGGAACTAATCATCAAAGGCCATTATTAAAAATTAAAATATAAACCAAATCTCAAAATAGACTTCATTTTTAAGTTTCTGAATTTAATAAAAATTGTTATCACCCAATTAAAGAGCAATAATAGTCCCACCCATATCAAGAATTAATAAACCAAGTAACAGAAATAAAACCAAGCACCCTTTAATAACAATACTGTATTAACTTCCTTCGATAACATGATGTCTGAGTCTCAAGTCTTAATAGAAGAAACAAAAATTCAAAAGGCATAACAACCACGCAGTCAAAAACACTAAGTTGAATGTGGAAAAATAAAAGGATTACACTATTAACGGCTCATGATAATTTATTTACCACAAGTCGATACCATAAGAATAAGAAACCATTTACAAGATAAATTTTCAACTCCACGAGCAATCAGTTGCTGCAAAACAATCGTCGTTCTTTTCCCACATACATAGTTGTAGAAAAGCCTGCCTATGTTTCTCACGAGCTTAACCAAAGCAAAACGCAAGAAAAATCTGCAGAGAATCCAACCACTGTCATATAGTTTCTTTGGAAACGATTACAATTACAGCAACTGCACATTCATTTTATACTTGGGATCGATCATACTTACCGCACAATTACACAAGCAACTACCACCTGTCAGGCTGCAATTAACTTCTTTAAATGAGAACAGCATGAACAGGCGGTTATAAACTGCAAGGAAAAATATTGAAGGAGACAAAAAAAGAGGTATATCAGTGTATACGGTCCAAGGAAGACCCTAAAAATAAAGTTAAAATTCTTGAAACATATTATTACTGCCCAAGTTCTATAATCACCTAAAAATTCTTGAAACATATCGCTGCCCAAGGTACTCCAGAACAAAAGCTTGGAGGACAAAGGACCGGTAGGAAGAAGGCCTGCGATACTAAAATTATGAAAACTCAGAAAACCGTAACAGTAACAAGAAAAATAATGCAGCAATAGATGGAAATAAACTAAACCTTATCTCCTTATTCAAACAAGTTGCATTCTATATAATACTTCACTGCCCAAAGTTCATCTCCGAGTATCTGCATGAAACATAACCAACATTCGTTGAGATTATATTGATCTACTAAAAAATGTGCAACTAGTATTATCCCTAGAATCGGAAGAAAAAGGTAAACAAAAAAAAAGAGCACGGTAAAACCATGATCAAGCATTCCCAAAAGAAAATTATCAAAATGGCTAAAATGAACATGCCTGCGGGGCTTATTATGCCGCTGTCCAAACTCATCATTTACAGGCTCTGCAGACAGATAAAGTTCAAAAAATAATTTATTTACAACCAATGGCAACGAGTAAACAATATCAATGGAAAGGAATATCAATGTGTTACCAGATTTTGGTGGTGCCTTCCACTCATTATTAGCTTTATTCACATTATTTTCCTTGCTGCAAAGATTCAACCATGAAAACAAAAATTATAAAAACAGCAAAAAGCTACAAAAACATCAAAATTAGCAAGGAAGCAAGAAAAGTATGGGAAAGCCCACTTCATTATGAATCCCCCCTCCCAACAACACACACAAGAGGAAAAAATTAATAAAATACAAAAATATCAGTCATGCCAAACCATTAAATTTTAAGAAGTAAAATATAGTAAAAGAGTAATACTATATACATTCATAATAAAGCTATTAAAGTACCCACCTTGAAGTAGCTGTTGCAGATGTCTGCCCTGATTGTCGTGCATGGTAAGCACCGTCAACAGTGAGATATGGTGGACAGTATGTAGCCCCTAAAGCACCTGCTGCCCCTAAAGCTCCTGCCGCCCCTAAAGCTCCTGCTGCCCCAGTCAAAACTGGTAGCCTAAACCAAGAAAGGAAGTAGCTAAATAGTGTTCCAAAGAAAACTAAAACAGAACAAAAGTTTATTTTTTCACAAAGAATGAGACGCTTGTGTAAGATTATTGCAAACATTAATTGGTTAGAGTACTTAAAATATCTTATTATTAAAATTCGTCAAAAAAATAGCAAAGTACGTCAAAAGGAGATTTCAACCATTTTATCATACGATAAAATTCAGTAATCAATGCCCTTACCATGTCATTTCCGAGTTACCCAAACCAAGTTGAGGCTGAGCAACATATCCAGGGAATGCCATGCCAACAGCAGGAACTCCTATGCCACCAGGATGCTGCCCTCCAAATTGCATAACTGTGTCCTTGTGAAAATTAGAAAAATGGACCAAAGAATACAAAAAAAAATGCATCTGTTCTGAAAAGATTCACAAGTATAAACGAACAACAAAACCAGGGGATGTTGATAAATCGGGATACCCTCACCACAAAAAAACTTATCTGTAACCGTAAATACTAAAACTACCTACCTTTCAACAGACTAGTGATGATACTAACTCTAGTTCATGCACAGGGCAACATTGTATAACAATGACAGCGATGCAAATTAAAAATAATTATATTGGTTGCCAATTTTCTGCCATAATTGCACTGTGAAACTTATCAAGAAAACAGAGGATTAAACCGACCTGGCAGAAAGGTTGGGAAGTTCTGATCTCCATGACTACCACTGATATTTCCAGCAGTGCTCATATTTCCACCATAAACAAAAGAGCCCCTTCCACTACCCTGAGAAGCTCCCCTCCCCTTCCCAACTAATGCACCCTTCAATTTACCTGATTCTGAAGCTGCATCAGTTTCTCCAGAATCCAATGAACTAATTGCAGCGGATGTGTTGGGGGGAGATGAAACTTGAGACCCACTACCTGGTCGATGACCCAACTGTGGAGCAGGGGCTTGCACAGAAGGTGAAGTTCGCCCCGGAACAGTTCTCTGAATAGCCTGGAGTTGTGTTGGATCAATTTTACTAGTTTGATTATGAGAGGCAGCAGGCTGATAATTCATGTGCACTGGTACTCCTCCACCCCTCCCAGTACCTCTTGGATTAGTAGACTGAGAAGCATTAACTCCAGAAGATCCAGGTGGGGGAATATGCAAATTGTTAAAAGCCTTTCCAACAGATGGAGCGCCAGGCCCATCAATATACAACTTCTCCATGCTAACATGATCGACAACATTCTTTCCCCGAAAAAGTGCATTGTTTTGTTGGACCAAAAAACCCTCATCCACAACCCCAGGCCGAACGTTCCTGGTTGCAGCACCAGTTTGGATGTCCCCTTTTGGTGTCACACTAGTATCTTTGTTGGAAGAACTTGAAGGGTAGAAAGGAGGAGATGCATAATTCAAATTTGATGCAAACACCTGTTTCTTGGAAGGTACAGGATCAGGCTCTAAATTGGAGACAGGAGTGAAGGCTTTCCCTGGACCAGCATGTGAAACTTTCTCTGGCTGCTTCCCATATCTTAGAAAATGGCAAACAAAGTTTACGATCAGAAATCTTTAACATGTATAACATGCATAAGTAGCAGAGATCCAACTGATCTTATAAAATAAAAAGTCTGTACTCACTGTTTATTTTGCACCTGGGATGCTGAATCATTGCTCTTGTTAGTAGGCTCATACCTACGGGGTCCTCTCCCTCGCACAACACTCTTTGGTGCCTGAGTTTGATTGCCTCTGTTTTCATACCCTTTTCTGTTACCTCGAACATATGCCCCACTGCGATCAACACCTCGTGTTTTACCTCCACGACCTCGATAACTACCCTTAGAAGGTCTTCTACCCTATATTTTAAACAGAATACTTTAACAAGGTTTTTTCACTTCAAGAAGCAAAATAAAAAGTCAAAGTAATTTCTTAAAAGTAATTCACAAAATCAACCATCACCTCTTTGTAGTGCCTTTCTTGTAGAGTAATTTCTTCAAACTTATCATGTCCCCACTTCCTGTCATCCTTGGACTCCCAGAGTCTCCTTCCACCACGCATGCGCCTAACGAGATAGCAAACACAAACGTAAAAACAAAAACAAAACCAAACCTTTAAATCAACCACGAACACTACCTACAATTTATGCATAGATTTCAGTAAGGATTTAGACACCTGTGGCGTGCACCGGCATTATCCCTGAAGCGATCATCGTGCATATAAAATGCTCCAGCAGTGGGCACCGCAAACGGTTCATTCTCCTTCTTCTCTTCATCATCTCCATTCAATGATTCATCCAAAGGGCCTTTCCCATCAGCATCCGAGTCCTTAACCACTGTACCATTAGCACCTCCTTCCCTTCCAACCCTACCCTCATCTTCTTCTTCTTCTAACAACTCTTCTTCTTCCTCCTCCTCCTCCTCTTCCTCTTCTTCTTCCAATTCTTCTTCGTCGTCATAATCTGCCACGCCACCCTCGCCGTCGGAATCATCGGACTGGGTAACCCGGCGACCACCGGCAGCGATTCTTCCGTCAGCTTCGGTGTCGCCTTCCTCATCATCACTGGCCTCGCGCCTTCTCCTCAATGCGAGCGATCTCATAGCCTCTTCGGGATCACTCTCGTATTCAAGCCCTTCTTCACCCGCCGTAGCCATTCCTAAAACCCCTCAAAAAACCTAAAACCCAAAAATCTGAATCAATCCAACCACCAAACACACAAAGAAACGACCACCGAGAAATCAAATGTGAATGAGAGCAGCCAATTGGAAACCCAATATTATTGGAGCGCACGAGAGTTAAGTAAGAAGGCTTAGATAATTGAAACCCTAGATTATTGGGGTGGTGGGTGGTGTGGGAGTGGGAGGAAAGGGTTGTGCCTTCCGAAAGGAAACCCTAGATTAGATAATTTGGGACATTTGATTTTGTGTCGTTGGCAATTGAAACCGAGAAACGAAGAAAGAAGGCTCTAAAAAGCGGAAGGGTTGTGGTGGAATTATCTTATCGTCAGGGCTATTTCAGGAATTTCAATGTCGGGTCGGATTTTGGAGACTTATGTAACACGTTAGAAATTGCTACCACCGTAATTTAAATTATATTAAAAATTATTTATAAATACGTTACTTTCAAATTATCTTTAAATATTTTCAATATTGTTACTTTCTTTCCTTTATCTTTAAAGATTTTTTAAATATTGTTACTTTGTTTCCTTTTCAAGGTGTATTTCACAAATTATTCTATACACATTAACATATTCTACTCTTTTTTATATATAAATATAATTTTATGCATAAATCAAATATTCCTGAAATGAAATTCCTTCTACAATCACCAATAGAAAATTAATTCATTTAGTTGAAAATAATATTGCTGAAATAATTATTTAAAAAAAAACACTTTTTTTATAACAATATGGTTTACTTCTTCAAAAAATAAAAAAGCTATTAGAAAAACTTCTTTAAGTAAATCAATATAAAATCAAAATCAATAATTGCATGTATTAATTATGATTTTTTTGAATTTTATAATAAGAATATCTATTGATTAACTCGTAAAATTATACATTATTTGATAATAATTCAATGATAAAATAAAAAGTAACTGATTAGAAGTCAAGATATATATTATAGTTCAAAGACTAGATGAAAATACGAGTCAACCCAGCGTCTTGAGTTCGTTTAATTTGAAGGTCAAGAAAACAAAATTTGTTTTAACTCACAATTAACTTTTTATTTTATTACACAACACGCTTAAATAACTGTGAAAACCGTATCGAGATTCGTATTAACATCTTATTAAACATGAAAAGAAAACCGTCAATATCTATTTTTAGAAAGAAAAAAAAAAGAATCTTAACTCTCATTTAATTAAACTACAAGTTTTTAATGTAGTTTTCTTCACACATATAATTTAACGATATTATATTTTTTATATCTTTCAACAATACGATAATATATCATTGATAACTATAAGTGCGTGATAAAAATAAAAAAAGAGTCATTACCGTTATAGTGATAAGAAAAAAAATCACTATTTAAAATCGACTAATTTATGTAAAATAAAAAAGATTAATAAAATTCTTTAAAATAATTAAGATATTTTATCTTCTAAAATTTGTTTTGCACAGAACCAATTTTATTGAATTTCAGCTATTTTAGTATTATTTTTTTAATGTTATATCAACGGAGATCCTAAGAGCTATCACCAATAACCTAGTAGTTCTATTTTGTTTTCATAATGGAACACAATGTGGTAAAAGTAGTTGTTTGGTTGGCTTGCTTTACTTTGCAGTCCAACTTCCCATTTTCTCATCTCACAGGAATTACAGTACTAAGCAAAAATATTAATCAAATGCAATTGACAAAATAAATCCAACAGTCCTACTAAATATTTAGCACCAAAAAAAATATGTACCATTTCATATAACTTAGCCAGCAGACTCAAATTCATATTTATATATTCATATGAAAGGAAACCCACACAAAAAGTGCTCTGTAATATCGGCAACGGTTAGAAGTGAATAGCCTTGAAAAGTCAGGGCTAAAGTAGTTTTAAAAGGTGATCTCGTCGCGGCAACATCACAATAGCAAAGTAAAATGTCATTTTCAAATTTGACAAAACTCCAGGCTCGAGAAATAACAGTACTATTGAACGTTTCAAGGTTCAAGAGTTAAAACTTTGCAGTCTAAATCAAAAATTAAGTTCCATTTTCACTTGGAGATTGACTCGGATTCAAGTACACTAATTAAGTATAATAGACTATGCCACACAAGGGCAAACGAACTCAAAATAGCAAATTATCTTTGTGAAGGAACACCTAAGGAGACAGGCATTGTGGGGACAAGTGTAAGGAGATGTTTCTCAATCTTCAGATGCCTTCGGAGAATTTTCAGGGGTCTTGAGAAGTGTTGATGTCTCACCCTTGTGTGCCATGACAACGGCTTTAAACTCGTCCACAATGGAACCGTCCTTGAACTTCAAGGCAAATGTTGAAAGACCACCTTTCCCTTCGCTGGCACTATTGATGCAGGCAAAAGTGACACCCTTCTTGTCCATATTTGTGAGCTTCATATCAGGGTAAAGACGTGCATTTAAAATTAATCTAAAATTTCCCCTTGACCTCATAAGAAGTCTGGCCTTTTTCGTCTCACTGGCAACATTAACCTTCAGTTCGCCCTTTCCTCGTTCCTTCCAACTGCCATCAACAAACTCAAACAACACTGAGTCTGCATTAAAAATCACTTTCTCATTTTCTTCACCGGTTTCAACAGCAACCTCCTGCATTGCTAAACCACTTCCCTCATTCTTAGAAACAGCAGATGCCCCCAAAACAGAACTTCCATTGTTGGATAAACCAAGACCAAAGGGCTTGTCACTTTTCAGTCCAAAAATAGAACCAGACCCTTCATTTGAAAAGGAACCAAAGGAAAATGAGGAAGTAGAAAATCCAGTTCCAGCAAGGCCTGTAAAGGCGTTTTGGCTACTCGAGTGCAGTTGAAAGGACTTCAAATGGCCACCTTCTGCATTTGCCTCTTCATTTTCAGCTTTGCTGTCTTTCTTATCCTCATTGTCAGTAGCGTTCTCATTCTTATCATCATTTTCAGAATCCCTGCCCTCCCCTATTTGTTCTTTATCTAACTTGCTGGCACTCTCATGTGCAGCATCCTTCTTATCCTCATTTTCACTTCCCGTGACATCCTTACTTTGTTCTTTATCTACCTGAGATTTCTCATCAGTACTTTCCTTGTCTGCATTGCTTTCTTGAACAGCATTACCATCAGTAGGTTTATCCTCTGCCTCATCAGTTTTGCTGTCTGAAAGCTTAGTTTCCTCATCTTCAGCTTTCTCAGAATCCTTAGCTATACCTTCACTGCTTTTTGAATCATCTGCAACAGTATTATCACCAGCTGATTGTACTCCAGTAGTATTTTCAGCAGGATTAGCACTGGATTCAGCAGGAGCAACCAGTCGTATTCCAGCAAAAGGGTTTGCAGAAGGAGCAGAATTAGTTTGTTGGCGACGAACCTTAACTATCCTTCTGGTTGCCAGAACCTCATCACTGGCTCTCTTGAAAGTGCCCGTTTCAAGCTCCGGGGAATCTTCCTCATCATCAACTGGAGTATCTCGAGTGAGCTCCCTTCCAGCAGCCCTTTTCTTCGAAGGTGGAAGGGAATTCTCCGCATCACCCATTGTAGAAATAAAACTTCTGGCCTATCAAGTTGAAGGACAACAGCAGCTGCAATCAGAAAATTACAATTCTCATTCTTTTTGGCTAAAAGAGAGAGCAAACATTCAAACTAACAAAATAAACTCTAAGAACAATGGCAAAACATGTATCACAAAGTTAAACAATACAAATTATAAACATCATAAAAAGTTAAACATTATAATAAAAATACAATAAACTAAGAAAACAACAACCAACAAAAACACATTCAGATTAGAAATCTCATCTATATGAATTGAATATGGTAACCGACAATATATTTTCCCTGAGAACGCTGTAGAAGGCTTGGTAAAAAAAGCACCTAAATTATCCATGCCAAGTAGATTTGCTCAGATAATAATTTGATAAGATAGAGCACAAAACAGCACAAACTAAAGTAGAAAAGAAAAAAAAAAATAGTTCGAGAAAGCATTTGAAGGGCAACATTTCACAAAAACCAGGGACAAGAAACAGTTTGTGAAGACTACCAGCCAAAGCAATCACTCCAGTGACAACGTGCAAAATATAATAGAATTGCAACTAGTATTTCGAAGTAGTAAAATGCCAATGTGTTATTTGGTTTCAACAACGTTCTGTACGATGAGTTTATAGGTATGTTAGAATAAACTTTTCGATAAACAATACAAGAAGAAAAATAATATTTTTGAATTAAGCTTCTCTCATAAGTTAATGTTAGATAATGCATAACAAAAATCAGCTCTTGAAGAAGCTAGATGAGAAAACTTCTTCAAATTAGCTTACACTCTAGCTAATTTTCTTCTCTGATGAGTGTTATCGAGAAGTTTATTCAAATAGTACCTACGTAATGATAAACAACTAAACACCTATTAAAAATAACAATAGCTCAAACATCATAATTCAAGACCCTGCGGAGCTCTACATTTTTAAGCTGTAATATCCAGAACCCTACTTTTAGGTAGAAAGAGACAAAGTAAACCAACAAATAAATAAATAAAGATTTCGGGAGGATTAACAAGGGTGGCTATATAACCTTCGCAATGAAAACCAAAAACAACTATTGGAATCAATCAGAGGAATTTGGGAAACAAAAATGTTCGCAAAAACCTAAATAGTTAAATTAATATGAATAATTTCTGAGTATTAAAACATATAAAAAAAAAAACAGGAAAAATAGTAAAATAATAACAAAAGGTACAAATCAAAGATTGAAATGATGGAATATAGAGATAAAGAGTACCGTATGGACTACTTAGAGGCGAACGACGAACAATATTTCGTACGATCCTGTGGAATCCTTCGATTTCAAAAATTTACATAAATTAAAATTAAAATTATGAAGAAAATATGCAAGGAAAAGGAAAGAAGAGATAAGAGAAAGAATGAAGAGTTGAGAGTACAAACCCTAAAACGATGGAGGGTACACAGAGAAAAGGGAAGATGATAGTGGCACCAATATACTCATACAGCTGGCAGCACTCTCTCTTTAAGGACAAAAAAAAATTCAGAATATAAACACGTGGGTTCTTATAATTTTCATATATACTCATATAAATTTTTTAAAATTGAATAAAATAATACGATGATGAAATAATGTATATTTCAAAACATATGTATTAAGAATAATAATATAATTATTATAATATAATAAGTGTGAGATATTAACTTTCAATTTTAATAAGTAATCATTATGTAAATTATACTATACTATTTTTGCATATACGCGTAGAGGGCTGAATTTTTATTTTTATTTTTTTCTAAAATAAGCGTATAATGGTACTTCAACGCATTCATTGTTCAAAATAAATAGTTAATATATTACGAAATAATAATAATTAAAATACAACAAAAGAGATATATTAGCTTTAAAATTGAAACAAATAATTATTTGAAATATATAACTTTCGTTATAATACTTTTATTTATTTATATATATATATATATATATATATATATATAATTAATTTTTATAATCAGAGATGAGTAGAATATAATATTCATTACATAAAAAATACATTAAATATAATATAAAAATTGATTTAATACATAACTTTGTTTTTATAATTAACGAGCGTCAAAATAGATCTAGTTTAATGGATTAGTATAAAAGTTCAATTAAATTAGGTAAAAAATTAAATTCTCTATATATTTCCATACTCAAAGTTAAATATCTAGAGTACTCTTTTTATAATTTTATTTTTACCTTTACTTCTCATTTTCTATCCGTGTATAATTTTTGCATCTTCATATCTCAACACCACCATCCCTTGATTATTTGATTTTTTTTGTTGTGTTATCACTTTTATTGAATACATTTTCTAATAATTAAAGGTAAGTAATAGTTAAATATTATGTATGAATTCCATGTTCTTGAATTCAAATTGCACAATTATATCTAAATTGTTCAATCTAAAATGATATCGCGAATCCGAAAATACATTCTGAATTTGGTGTTTAGGAAGGTGTTTCGGATATGGACAATCCGAAATACATTCCAACGATGAAGATAAGTGTAAAGATAAAATAAGGTTTAATTCAATTATGAAGATGTAGGAAGAAATTATGGGGGTACAAGAAGAAAGAGTAAAAAAATTTGTGGTCTAAATTGAGTCAGACAAATTTTAACTTGACCTATTTAAGTCATGACCTATATGGGTTTAGGACAGACTAACCCGTAAATTTATGGGTTGATTCGTTTTATAAAATAATAATTATTTTTAAATAAAAATAAAAATAATATTATTTTAATAAAAAATATATATGTATTATAAATTAAATTAATAAGATTCCGTGATTGTAAAAGTAATTATCAGAATAAATATTTAATAATTACTTATTTTAAGATCTAATTATTAATATTAGTTATTATTTTAAATTAATAAATTACTAAAAATAAATAATAATAATAATAATAATAAAAAAAAGTAAGTTTTTAATTCTTATTCTAAAATTGAATGATGCATACTCTTATAATTATATATATTAAATCATTATATCTTAAAAAAAATTAATTTTATTAATAAAATTTAAATTTCAAAATATATTTTAAAATAATTAATTTTATATAAATATATTAATATTTTAATAAAATCAATCAGATCAAAATTGACCGGATTGACCTAACATAGAATCAGATTATATTAAAATTTTTAATCCTTTAAAATATAGGTGAAATTAGACCATAAAATATTTGTCCTTGCCCGAATGATCATGTTAGATTGGAATGTGGTTTTGAGAAATTTAGTTGAAAATATATATGTTTATTTTAGTGTATATTTAAAATTGTACTTATTATTCTTTTTAATCATTATTATATGTTTTTCTTATTTATATATATATATATATATATATATATATATATATATATATATATATTTCAAAATGTTCATACGATTATTAAAAAAGCACACATTTTGGTTTCGAGATCTTGGGTTGGGTCTTTCCTTTTGATATATACAACAAATTAACGTATCAACCATAAACCATATCTAGCATTGGTCCACGATAGCTGACTTCTTTATGAATATAACAAATTTTGAACAAAGACATTAAGTTTATTACCATACGCTTACAAAAAAAAAAAAAGTGTTCAACCACTATTGTTTTTCTAATGACATTTAATATGTTCTTTAGAAAGTTCATCCGACATATCCCACCTCCCTCCATTGCCCAACCTTATAACTCCTGAGCTCGTGATAAGTTGGTTCTTTTAGTTTATGTGGTTTCAAATTTTGTGCAGTACAACGTTTTGAAATCAAAAAATGAAATCCACTATGAGAATTTTATGAAAGTACAACTATTTCAACCTCATTTTCAACAAGAAATGATAAGTTAAATCTAACGTAAATCCATATTTTGGTAATTAAGAAAAAAAGTTCATTAATTTCTTATTTTTTATATGAAGGCAGAAAAAAATTGTTAATATTACAAATGCTTCCATTCCCAACAAACTATGAACTATTGAATCAAATTTCCATTGAATTAAGTAGTGTTAACTTCTTTATGATTTTCCAACTTCCCTTTGAAAGTAAATTCTTCCCAACTAAATTTAGAAAAAACAAAATGTTTTTATTTGGGGTGGCGCTGTTCTACTTAATTATTTGTAATAGTCAGATTCCATGGTCAAATGGCCCAACAAAACCTTGTCTCCATTCCCACCCTGTTTTATTTGATTAGAGAATGAACTATGAACTATCAACCACGGTACTTTATGACAAACCAAACTTTATCCCGGTTGATAACAGCCAGTTGAAGAACTTGGGGGAATCATTATTTTCTCTATTAACCATCCATGTTTACAAACAATCCAGGAAATATAAAATGTTTAAAAAATGGCCATGAAAAAATGTTTAAAAAGAAAAGCTATCTAAAATTTAAGCAGTCATTCATCTCTAGCTCCGTTTTTCTACATTCACAATAAGAGTATATTGAGGTAAAAACCTCAAAAGAATGTGCTATATATATATAAGCTCTAGTAAATTGTAATTGACCCTATGGAATATTGTTTATACCACGTGCAAAATGACAAAATTCAGGGCACTACAAACCACAACACCAGGAAACAAACAACCAGTCCACAAAACCTCTTCATGTCACCTTGAGGAGACCTGCATTTTAAATTAAAGAACATGAAATCGACAATAATAAACAAGAAACCATCAAGTTTATGTTATGCATAATAATCCAAAAAAATGCAATGCGGATTGGCAGATGACACAAAAACGAGCAGGTCTTCCTTTTACAACACTACTTGCAAGCATCCAAATAGAATGCAGGAATGGTTTTATCAATCCAAAAAATGGTTACTCAACACTACTCATAAAGATCATGAAAATAACCAAAAACTATTATTCGATAAATGCTAAAACAAATATTTTATTCGTAAACTGATTACGCCTACTGATTTCACATCTTTTGCAAATGCAAGGCCAGATGTCATAGCCAACGCGATACGAAAATTTGATCCTAACCTCATAAATATCCCAGAAGCTGGAACAGACTGTCTTGATGGGACCTAGTGATGTGGGGCAAGCACTGCCAAGAAAAATGAATATTTAAGTGAGGAATAAGAAGCAATCAAATTTTTTTCCCCAAAGAAATAACTTCATTGAGGTGATTTTCCTAATTAAGTTCAGTGATATTGTAACAGGACAGTCTCCTAATAAACTATCGAAAGTAAATATAGGAAGCAAACAATTACTATTGTTATTATTATTATTATTATATAACAAATAAAATTCAAGGATGAATTCAGAAAGTCAGGTAATAGTATTTATATTTATAGGGCCCTCATTCTTAGTAAGCAATAATTATAATATTTAGTCAATGATTCACTATTGACAATGGATTTTATTTTACTATTTCCTCCCTGATCCCCAATTATTCACCCTAATTCTAGTGTAGTATCCAATACTCTAAAAATAGAGAGCAATTTAAATTGTTAGGACTCAGGTGGTAGTAGTTATAGTAAAAACAGCTAGTCGTCAAACGGTAGTTAGAAATGGCTCTTCAGAAACAATTAATCACCGGAGACAAAATTTCGATTTTCACACCACCCCAACCAATTGCTTTTAGGCTGACGGGGCTCCTTCATTATTCGTACCCCACTCTTCTTCAGCCTCGTTACCATTAACGAGTACTGCACCATCTGTAGAATCTGCGTCCACTACAACTGCCTCCTCTTGGCTTCCTTCCTCTCCATTCTGTTCCTCTGTGTAGTGCTCTTCTCCATTTTGTTCAGTCAACTGTGAAAGGACAACAAAATAAACAAATAGTCTAACACCACAACTAATAATGAATGAATTGATGTTTCTATTTATCTAGAGCATAAAACAAAACTACAATACCTCATGAGAGTCCCCATTCTCCTGGTGCCCCTCTTGCTCAATCTGCATGTTTCTGAAAGCTTCAACAAGGGTGATGTGTGATTTGTCAGCATGATTAGCGTACTGGTCTGCGGGATGGTACGCATTCCTATCATAAAAGAACACAGTTATAGAGAAAGTAAACATTTCACGGAGTTGGAGATGTTTTGCACAAAAAATGATAATCTACTAACTACCATTTCTTCAAGATAAACGCAATAAAATATGCATTCTGAGCACTGACCTTGTTTCTGCAACTTTAGATTCGACAGCAAGTGCAACTTGCCAATCTTCAAACAAATTTGGATATTCTTCAGGATCAGCCAATGATTCAGCAGCTTTTGGATTAACCTGTTACAAAATATATGTACTCTAATTAATCCACAAGCCACTTATCAATATGAAAAGACTACCCAAACAAAGCAATTGAAGAGAACGGCCATTCCTTTGTACAATAATGGATTAGGATCAGAAGAAATTTAGCTCTAGAAAATATTTTTTATTATAAAATATTGAAATCAAATATAATTGAATGGGTGTTGATTCTTATATTTTCCACAGCAGAAGGTGAAGTTCATTTTAGGGCTGTTGACGATTCAGATTCCCACTATATCATACACTGAAAGTAAATATCAGGAAGTTCCAACCTAAGTAGACATCATCTACCTGAATGAGAAATTACCTTATTGAGATCTTTTCTCCAAATTGCCACTATCTCTGAGACCTTACTGGGAACATAAGACCGAGCCATTAAAGCGGCCTCTGGAATTCGATTGCTGCAAAAGGCATACCCTCAGCTATATATGTAACTAAAGTCTAGTCAACCTTCCCTACCACTAATGTTAGAAAAGAAAGGAGCACAAGTTTAGCAGATTACCTTTCTACCAATAGTTGAAGGCAGTCTTCTAATTTACCCAACATAAATAAGCATAGGAATGCAACATTGTTCTTCCCTTGATCCTTGGCTAGGAATGCAAGTTTTAATATTCCTTCAGCATCTCCCAAAGAAGAATATAGGAGTAACAAGCCACTTAAATCCATTGCATGCCGTAAACATTCCTCAGCCATTTCTAACTGCAAGAATGGAAAATACAGTGAGAACTGGGCTAAAATGGACCAAGAGACATTTCCAACAAGAAGCAATATGTATGTTCCCCCAATTTCTAGAATTATTAATAAAATAAAAATAAGAACATTTAACATCTTAATTATAATAAAATCAAATCTACAGCACAGAATATATGACCATAACTTCTAACATTCAATGAAGCAAATCTTAATTTGTACACAACTAAAACATCTAGTCTCTTGCATCACAAAAGCTTCAATAAAGTCCATATACATCATGTGCACATGGTCAAATTCAGAAGAACATCAATCTTTAATAGATTTGGCTATGAATATTTACGAGTGCAATCAAGCTTTGAGTATCAGATAAAGCAATACAGTTGAAGATTCAAATCACAGTTAGCACCTTTCCAGAAGACATAGCTAATTCTCCCAACTGCTTCCATTTAGACTCACTCTGCAATTCTACTGCAATACTCTGCAACAAAAGAGGATGGATGTTATATTTATCATACAAAATGCCAAATCAAACTCAAGAAGAAAAATTAAGAAAATTAGATACCGAAATTAACAACTTTAACAAATTTAGCAATATCTCTTTGTACACTAATCACGTGAACTTACCTTCGCAACATCTAGTTTTCCAAGTTGTATCGCTAGATCAAATCTGTAGTCAGGGTCAGTGGCTACATGAAGAGCATCTTCTATCATTCCTCGTGATTCCAGGAAGTGAGCCACACTATCATGAAATCAAGTATTTCAATTATGATCCAAGTAATATATTAGCACTAATAACCCAAATTTCAGATATGAATAAACAAACAATAGAACAAAATTCTAAATCAAAGTAACAAGTAAATGAACATGTAACACTTATTTGTAAATATTATGTATTAATAGTTTAATACCATAAAAGCATGACACGCAAAGATTGATGTGGAGAAGTAAGACGGTACAAAGTCCCGAATTAAATGTAATAATTATTCACACAAAACTACATAAGTGTCAAAAGATTCCCTAATCAGCTACAAAAGATGCATTTCTACTTTCCAACAGCTTTCTATGGGATCATATCACACTCTTCTTGGACAAAACAAAAAGAAGTATAGAGGGAATGTAACATGCTAATAATATAAGATATGCATAATTTTGTAAAGCATAACTCTGTTACCAAAAGTATTTATAATTTCTACACATATAAAACATAATTCTACACATTGAAAGGAAATTAATCATTCTCTTGCAATGTAACACAAGGTAACTTCTACCTGTTATGATGGTCGTTAGGAATTGATGGTAGAATTTCATTGGCCCTTTCCAAATCACCGCGCATCACAAGTGTCTTGTACTCTATCAAGCTTAAAAGCAAAGTGTATCCCATAACACTGAGAAAAACAATTGATAAACAGAAAAAGAGTCAGATTACTTCAATTTAAAACTTTAAATAATCAAAACAGAAGTTTCACTTACTTAAACTCTTTGTCAATCAAATAAACACGACTTTGGTTTGCAAGATATCCTAACAAGTACATAGGGCGATCCAAATGAAACATTGTAGTTACCTAAACAAATAACATTATGTATCAAGAGGTCACACATGATCCTTGTAATTCAATTAAAAAAAGCAAGTACTTGTTTTTTAAAACTAGAAATCAAGAGGGAAAGAGTTAGTTAATACCTCACCACCAACGCAGTAATTAAGTCTCCAAGAGGAATTGTTGTAGATAAAGCAATCCCCAACCCACATGCCTGTCCTAACACGTTCATTCATTTCATGTAAGAGTTCAAAAGCATCTCCAACACCTTCCTCATCTACAAGTCTTCCACTATCTAAATGTGACATAACAACATCACGCTGAAATAATGGAAGTCAAAATATGTAAAGGGCACTACCAGCGAAGATCTGCCAAATATCAGTCAGAAGAAATTGTAGGGGGCAAAATATTCTTTATAGCATGTCAACAACTATATGAAAAGAATGAAGTTCATGAGAATCCTCACATTGTACTTCAGAATGTAGAATGATGTATCGCTAGCAATTGTTACTAGATCACCACTGTCAGCCCAGTAGAGGTTCTGATATAAGAAAATTAACAAAATTAAATTTAACAATGAATAAGAATCGAAAGAGAAGATAACTAGATATCTAACACCTAATCAAAGTACTTACTTTCACATTGACATCAATGTGATAGATTAACCTGCATTCAGCCCAATCATAAAAGCAGATGAAATCATTGGAGCACATTGCCAGTAAAGAGCCACCAAATATTCTTTCAGCTGAAAATGTTGGTCGGACACTCCTCTTTTCCTGCAATACCCATTGTTGAATTCCAAATAAGTATTGCATACATAGCGCAAATTTATTTCAATTTGGAGACCACTATAGCAATGAGGCTTAAATTTTAGTGAACTTTCCAGAGTGATGACCAACACATTCAATAAACAAAAATGGAAAAAAAAGGAAAATCTTCGTACATAAGCTACTCTTGGATTCAACTCCTAAGCAATGGACCTTTTGGGTGTACCGGAACAACATTTTTTAAGGAGGAAAGGGTAAAAATAAAAAATAAAATAAAAAAACTCACAGGTTGTTCAAGAGGGCCTACACTTCAACTAATAGTGACAGAATGAAAAGAGGGTTGAAACAAGATTATAAAGTTTTTAAAGAAGTCATGTGCTTGGGAGACTCATGCAAATAAGCAGTGCGTGAGGCAGAATATGCTGTCACAACCAGTTGGGTTCTGGTTGTGTGGAGAAACACTCCAAATATGGTCTTTCCAGGGGGAAAAGGTGACTGGTGGCAGAGGGCGGCGAATCCTCACTGGACAATGACAGGTAGAGCAGGAGCAAAGCAACACACTCTGATACCAAATAGAGAAAGAATGTAGTCGAAGTAGTACTTCAGAGATCTCACTTAGATCTATATATATAGATAAACAGAGTGAAAAAAAAATAAAAATAAAGTTCACCAGTTGGACTCTAGATGACATAGGTACAACTAAAAACAACTTTTACGAAAGATAATATAAATTAGTCTAACAGTTCTCATCACCACTAACACAAGCACAAGATTATAAAGTTTTTAAAGAAGTACAAACCTGGAAATTTTTGCTGAAAATTTTAATCTTTGATGTACTTTCTCGGACAGCATATTCTCCCTCAAAAGACCAAACAAATTCTAGCGCTGACCCAAATGATCTATTTCTCCATGCCAATGCAGTGTATATAATATATTCACCATCTCCACATACAACAACAAACCTCCCATTTGGATTGTGCTTTAGATTCTGCACACAATAAATTAAATCAACAATCAGCAACCAACCATCTATAAAACATTGTCGATAGTTGAACCAACAGTGAAAACAATTTTATTAAAACTAACTTCTATTATAGATCAGAAACTACAAAATATAATTCCAGACTACCAACTGATTTGCTAAATTATATAGATGTCTAAGCATACCAACTTAACAACACAAGATCCCTGCAGTTACAGCACGTTTGGGTTATGGCAATGCTTTAGGAGCCCCTATCAACTTCCGCTTGAGCATCCCATATATGATTTTGATTCAAAAAGACATGTTAGGTCATTTTTTATCAAACGAAAATCTTTGCTTCTAAAAGCATGTTTAACTAAAAGTGAAAAAGTGTAGCTTTTGCATTGAGTTGAGAAATTTAAATCCCATTTTATCTAAAACTTAATTTTAATATATATATATATATATATATATATATATATATATATATATATATATATATATATATATATTACTTCAGTTTAAACTCACTTGTAACGAATCAATTTTATAAAAACAAGTATGCAAGTGCTCAACCAAACACACCTAAATTTTTCCTTTCAAGGTGTGGCCTTACATAATAAAATATCATTGAAGCATACATAATATTATATCCATGGTATATAAACAAGAACTAGACGAGGATGGTTAGATGACCAATTTAATCTTACATGTAATTACAATCTTTTTGAATAAAAAGAAAATAGAAAGTTGAGCATGATTCATGAAACATGAGAAAATTCCGCATGATGAAGTCAATGTACATGTACCAAATGTCTAATTTTCTAAATAACTTACAAATGCCAGTCTGAATTTGTCAAATTGTGCATGAGCAAAAATAATTATCAATAGTAAACGTATGCAAAAAAGTGAAACAAAACATCTAAAAGTATATTAACTTACTTGGGGGTAGAGATCACAGGTACCCAACTCCTTAACAGCTAAAGGTAACCTTTCTCCGTCAGCAATCTAAGAAGCATAGTACTTGCACATGTCACTAAAAAAAAAGAGAACCTGACAGTTCCTGGTAACAAATTATAGAGCAAGAAAAGGTATAATAGAGCTCATACCTCTACATCTGCTCCAACACTTTTTATATTGACAGTCTGAATTTCATTATGCTTAGCCCAAATAATTTTCCCGCTGTTGTCCATGCTAGCTACAGGTACTTCTCGACCAAGTTTGACCATAATTGTTCCTTCATCATAGCCAATCACAACTCTGTTTGAATGCAACCGATAATTTTGGTTATGAGAAGAAGAGTAAAGATAAGGAGACTTCAGAATTCAGGCACAATTTGACAGTCTCCCACTCAACATAATTCAAGGCATAAAAAATTATACTAACAAGTTGCAAAAATTCTATCCACAAAAAACTCACCGACGTGAACCCTTCAAGTATCCAATAGCCCAGACTCTTTCAAGGCCATAGTTTAATGTGTTCTCAAGCCTGCAAGCACATCAAAACCATAAAAAAAATAAAAAATAAAAAATCCAAAAATATACTTCCAATTAAATATAGTAACAGCCTAAAAACAAAAACATGAAATTAAATAGAGAAGGAATAAATACTGCCTATCAGTCTCAATATATGCTATCTCAATTTTATATCAAACCTAGACATTATAGTTACCAGAATAAACCTTTCCAATCATCTATGTACCCATACAAACATAAAAAAAAAAATAAGCGCAGACCCATCTAAGCCTTACTCTCTAAGGTCAAAGGTCAACCATAAGCAAATAATCCAATTTCCAACATGAATAATGACTATGGAAGAAAAAAAGTAGAGGAAAATGCCAAATGGAAAAAGCATAATGTTAAACCTCATAACTTAGTAATCTCTGCATTTCACTTTACCTGTAAGTTGTGGAGTGCCATATGCGTACCGTACCATCTTCCGACCCAGTAATGATTATAGGAAGTTCAGGATGAAAGCATACGGCAGATACATTATGTGTGTGACCTTCTAGGGTCTGGACACAACTTTTGGTCTGATAATCCCATACCTGTTTCATAAGTCTCAACCATGTTATTCCTCTTCATGTGTTATATTTATGTAAATAATTGCATAAAATCAGATAAACCAATCAAGCAAACAAATGAAAACAAATATCAAACCAAACCTTGGCAGTGTGATCATCAGAACCAGTGATTAGATACGGTTTGTCACCACCTGTAAAATAATCAACGCAATTCACTCCTTTCTGATGTGCATCCAATGTAAAATTAGGGTCAGGAGAGCCAAGATTCCAAATCTGAAAAAGAAGAAAACAGTTGCATTGATGCATTATATCCTAGGATCATAGATATGTTTACTTTTTTGGCACAAAAGGAAACAACTAGAAACAACAACATAAATACACCTTTATGGTCCGATCAAGAGATGCACTAGCAAAGGTGTTTGTGTCTTTGGGATTAAATGTGACTTGCATGACATAATGAGAATGGCCTTCAAATATCTGGTTACAGACCCAGCCCTTTTCCCAATCCCAAAGCTTTATGAGCATATCATCAGATGATGAAAGCACATATGGAAGGGTGGGATGAACTGCCACACACCTAATGTAATCAGTATGTGCTTCAAATACTTTAACCTTATCCATCGTGTTGTAATTATATACGCGAATAAACATATCATCTGCTCCAGCAACAACCCACTGTCGGCGTGCAATAAACTTGGCTGATCTAACTGCAAAATCATATTGTATAAGGGCTCTAGTGAAATATAAAAAGAAAAAAGAGTGTCTTCAAGAAAAAGTATCACGAGTCTCGTATACATACAAATGTACCAAAAAATGTTCATAACTCATGTACCTGGTAACTCGGTAACCTCAAAAGATTTTGCCATGGTCTGAAATAGAATAAATAAAATTATGTTAAAAGCAGTAGTTTGGTGGAGAGTCAGAAACTAACATCCCTAATTAACAATCTATGAAGATTCCCGGAGTGTGTTGCGAGCTATGAAATTATAAACAATAAAGACCAAGATGAATGATAGTAAAACAAGAATACAAATCAAAATGCAATACACTATAAACTGCAAAATCAAGATTGCACGTGTGAAATGTTAAAAACAAAGGTGAATGCCAAATGGTGATCTTAATATCTACAGGTATTCAAATTTTATCAAACTATAGTCTGGCAGCTCGACTGAAAAACTTATAAAGGCATAAAAAGTATTCAGAAGCACATAATTTAGTCTAAATCTCTTCCAAACACAGACTTCAAGATCTGTTACATAAGATTAATTAGTGGTCATACTTTGGAAATTTCAAAAGGGTGTGATTTAGATTAAAGAAACACACATTTTACTCATCAAATTACTTACCAGTATGTAAATTTCAGACAAGTCCCAGTTTCTATCCATTTTGAAGTATAAATAAAATACTATAATATTTGTAGACGTGCTTCAAGACAAAAAATCACTAATAAAGAGCATTGTTAATAATTCGTTCAATATTTTCTCCATGTAATGAATCACTACATCATACACTATTATGTTCAATAATAATTTAACATAGATACTTGAAATTTGAAGGAACCATGGATATAATAGGTTCCCCCTATTTGCATCAGCAGCTCATTATAAATAGGCACCATGCAAAAGGTGGCTTGTTTATAGATCATTCAACAAACACCCGTGTCTGACTTAAGTGCCAACATACACTATCCACCATTACATTTCTCGGTTAGAAAAAAACTCGTTTCTGACAATATGCATAAAGAATAGCACACCTGGGATTGGTAGTTCCAGATACAGACAGTTCCAGAGTATAAACTCCCCAGAATCCTGCATTATCAAGGTTGCTTCAAGTAATTAATTAAATGACACCAACTGTAACCTTGTATAACAAAAATATTTACAGATATTCCCAATAATAAAGTATTCCTCACATCACAAATTAAATTCAGAAACAAAACAACAGCAGAAGACGAGGCATTACCATGGTTCTGTTGGATGTAGATCCACACATTTTACTCTTTCTGATCTTTGCGCTAGCTTTCGCTGATCAAATATTACAATAACAAGTTAGATTAAGTAGCCAGAAACCCAATCATTCACACTACGCTTAGTTTCCGAGAAATGTAATCTTGTAGGCCAGAAAATAAAAAATCTACGCGAAACCAAAAAAAAACATTGAATCAGAATACAAAACAGAATTACCTTGATTTCGAGTCTGAGAGGCTGCAAATGCAGATAACAGGAGAGAAAACAAACAGTAAAACAAAAAACACGCGTCAGTGCACGGTTCCACAGTAGATCACATTGAAATTGAAATAGCAAGAGCTAGAAAAGCGAATTGCGAGGCTCGCATTTCAAGTAACAGGTAGCAAAGCATTCGAAATTAAAACAACACAGGTCGGAAAGAGAAAGCATGAAATCGGAGGGAATTCGTTCCAGATCTAAGGTTGTTAAGAATGCAGAAGTGTTTGCGTAGGAGCAGATCAAAGAGGCAGCTAACCATTTTTACAAATTGGAGAGTGCACTAGACTCTTCTGAGATCAATCGTCGGAGATCAGAAACCGAATTCGACGAGCCCAAGGAGATCGAGCTCAGTGAGAGAGAGAGAGAGAGAAAGAGAAAGAAAGAATGAGGAGAGAAATGTGTTTATTTGTATTTTAGGAGATGTTGTAAGTAAATACCATGAGGATCAACGAACGAAAGAGAACGGTGCTATGCAGTTAAGTGAGTTTACGAAAATGCCACTGGATCGGATACTACCACCCTGTACCTTGTCAAACCATATCCTCCATGGTGGTGCGGAAACATGCACGAAATGGTGCCACCGTGGCAACGACATGCTTGCCACGTTGATATTCGGACCCACTTCTCTATACTAATTAACTTGTACTCTTATAAGCTTTCCCGAAGCTCTTTTTTTCATATTTTATTTCATGGATAATTTTTATCCTTTTGGTCTAAGTCAGTTTAATTCGTTAAATTATAAATACAGATATTTTATACTGAATTTTTTTTTATAGAAAAAGTGTTCAAAATAAATTTTAAGATTAATCTGAAAAGGACGTTTATAAATTTCATTTCACAAACACTTCATAACTTTTAGATTTATTGATTATTTTTAATTCAAAATTTTAACAGGGGATCTGAGAGAGAGAGAGAAAAAAACTGACGAAAATTAGTCTGTGAAGGACATTTGTAGAGGTCTTTTTTAAATGTCTTTTTCATTTAAAAAAAATGTATAAATACTTATTTATGAAATAGGTGTCAAGAGAATTCGTTTGCTTTCTGACTGTTATCTTCATACAGAGCATGTTGAGCAAAATAAAGACAAATTTTAGTTTATTTTCATTTATTCAATGTTAATATTTTAATGAATATGATTAACCATAATTTCGATTTTTTTATAACAAAAAATTTAATGAATTTTACAACTAATGTTTGTACTTTTTAGTTTGGTGGATTTTAGAAGATTTTTAAAAAATTATGAGTTTCAAAAAATATAAAGATACTTGTTCTTATATCTAAAAATCAGAATTTTATAATTGTTTTTCAGCATTTTTTATAATTTATACATTATTCTTGAATAAAAAATAATTAATTATCTTAAAGCAAATTTTTAACAAATTTAATCACACAAAAATCTATGTTAACTATAACCTATTATTGATAGTTTCTACACAATATACAAGTTATCAAAATACCTTATTTTTTGCAATAATCCCAAATAAAACCTTATTCAATACCTTTTAAATCCACAATATATAAATTGTTTCACATATGAATCATCTCATAAGAAAACCCAACAATAATAGCACTTTCTTCCTCCTCTCCTTGTTTTCCATCTTACCATGAATTCAAATATATAGTCCAAAATTATGAGATTTTCTTTTCAAATCTTTTTGAATTATTACTTTTTGTTATTTTTATTTTATTTCAATCGTTACTTCGCTAAGCGATCTAAATGGATAAAAATGGTGTGTATAAGATGAATTACTGACAGTTCACGATAGACAATTGATGTTTTTTTTTTCTTTGTAATATTTGGAATATCTCGTCTGTTTAATGTTAGCTTTGTTTGTTAAAATGTCTTTCGATGAAATAATGTTTTTTTTTCTTTGTAATATTTTGAATATCTCTTCTGTTTAACATTTGCTCTATTGGTATGAATACAAAAATAAATTAAGTTTATCAAACTTTTTTACACATTTTATTGAATATCTCACACAAATGAAAACATATCAATCCGAAGAAACAGGTACAGATACTAGTAGATTACATTGGGAATTATATTGAAAACAATTACATAAGGAAAGATGCAGATTCTAAATTACTTTATTCTAGGAACAACTTCGAATCAAACGTTTAACCTAACTGCAGAATATCATGCTCTCTCAGCAGTTAGCATAACTACTTGTCGTCTGGCTACCAGAGGTTGGCTTATTGTATTCTTCCTTCTGAAGTCTGAAAAGGAGTTGTAGTTGATAAAGTGAGAAGCATAATTTAGAAGGTAAATTTCGAATTATAATAATTAATTCAAAATTATTAGTTGCTAAGATGTTAACTTTTTAAGCATACATTTTATCAGAGTTTCAGTTGTAACTTTTAATCAATTATTATAAATTTGTATTTGCTTCTATAAGGATATTACCGTGTCAAAACTTGTTTCATTTGGCAGGTAGGAGATTTACCTTAACGATGATGAATCCTTTGTCACATCCAAAAGCAAGCCTGCATGGAGTAGCAATGTGATTGCAGTCAGTGATAAATTATAGTAAGTTTTTCTTCTTTTTTTTTCTCCTTTTTGTAGTCAAAGGAAGTTCAGATAATTACTGAGATGATCCTTTCTTGTAGCCAACACTCCATACTCTCTCGAGACCAAAGTTCAACGTGGTTTGAAGCCTGAAATTTATGGTAAGTGGTAACTGTTAAAAATGTGAACAAGCAGAAAGTTTCTTTAACACACTAATTAAATGAAGTTTTGAATAAGAACTTGAGAGTAAATTTTGATTAATATGATCCATACCAAAATAAAAGGAAAGAAAAAAAATGAGCACACGAGTAAAAATTGAACATCAAATGGCTAATGAAGTACCTGTAAGTGACAGCATCCCATATTTTAACAGTAGAATCCTCTGAAGCTGTTATTATCACTGGGAGCTCAGGATGAGCACATATTGCTGTGACATTGTTTTCATGTCCTTCGAGTGTATGTACACAGTTTCTAGAGTGATAATCCCAAACCTGTATAAATGTGGATTAAGATTTTGATGGGAAATATCTCAAAAGACTGAAAAACTATTTTTATGGAATCATTATTAACAAGCAAACCTTGGCAGTGTAATCATCAGAACCACTTAAAAGATATTGTTTGTCATTGCTTATGAAATAATCAACACAATCCACTCCTTTCTTGTGTCCTTCCAGGGTAAATTTTGGTACCGAGGAATCAAGACTCCAAATCTACAAAAAGGAGACAATTACAGCAAAATTTTAGTAAATGAATTTAAGATTGCAGTTACAATATTCGCAGGTAATGGATACTAAATACTATCATACCTTTAAGGTGCCATCAAGGGATGCACTAACAAGGGTAGAAGGATCCTGCGGGTTAAATGCAGCTTGCATCACATAGTGTGAATGCCCTTCAAAAATCTGAGCACAAGACCAACCTTCCTTCCAATTCCACAATTTTAGAACTTGATCATCTGAAGCTGACACTACATACGGCAAAACAGGATGAACTGCCAAACTCCTTATATAATCTTTATGTTCTTCAAATTCTACTATCTTTTCCATTTTCTCATAATTGTAGACGCGAATGTATTTGTCATCCGTAGCTGCAACAATCCAGTTTTCCCGAGCAATGAACTTTGCTGATCTGACTGCAAGCATTAAGAAATAAAAGGAAGAAAGAAACACAGAACAAGCATAAGATCACTAACACATGAAGCAAAAATAAGATTACAACAAAGGAGGAAAAAATTTATAAATGACACAAGTGTAGCAATTTACCTGGTGATTCGCTGATTTTCAAAGACTTCTCTTCTGTCTGCCATATTATCGAAATAAATATACCCAAAAAAGTATCCAAATAAAGTTCCAAATTCTACCTCTAAATTCCACAACATACAGAAACAGAAAGATACAGAACAACTACCAGTTCTAATTTTTTCTAGATCTACTGCCTATTTAAGCACAAGGAATAACTCTGACAGTTTTAGTTTTATATCATTAATTTTTATTTGTATTATTAATATTAATATTATTAATTATGTAATTTTCTTTAGGTATGATTGATTACCTTTGTCTGATAGTTCCAAATAGAAATAGTTCCTGAATATAAACCCAGTAGAATCCTGCGTGAGAAAAGTATTAGATGTAAGAATCTGTTGTATTGTACCTGCTATAGATAACGTTAAAATTGGCGTTAAATAAGTCAACATAGAAGTTCTGAACATACCATGGCTCAGTTGGATGGAGATCAACAGATTTCACTCTTTCGGTGTTTTGAACAAATTCATGCTGATCCAGACAAAAAAATTATCAGGAAAACAACGTTAAAAAGCTTTTCATATAGCAACCAAAATTTGAATATGGACAGATGAAATATATCTCAAAATAGATAATGTAGAAAGTAAACAAAATTATACCTCAAATTCAAAGGAGAGGATTTGTTCCTACAGAATCGACATCATGAGAAGCAACAGGCAGAGTAGTCAGTTCATAGTTAACATATTTCATAAGCATTGGGCCTACCCAATAAACATTATTCAAAAACTTTTGTTCTTCCGTAACAATATAACCAAAATTTAAGGTTCACTATTTGATTCAGTTTAGAAAAAAAAAAAAAAAAAAGTCGAAAATGGATAAATGACACATTGATGTTCTGTCACAAAAGGTTTGTCCCACTTCATGCATGTTGGGCTCAGGTGCCCAAACGTTGGTCTTCCGGGCTTAACTTTACCACTTGCACACCCTCATTAACAAGTAGGTCCTCCCCAGTGCCATAGACCATCTCTCATAATTTAATTAAAATGTAATGATTTTTAATTGTAAATTGATGAAAAACTATGAGATGCACGTTACGAAGTAATAATTAGTAAAATACAATTAACTCAAAACACAATCATTAAGCTGTAAATTAATAAAGAGTCATAATATTATTTTTATATTTTTTATATAATAATATAAGAGAAAGAACGGAATGACCTACCATATTCTTAACTTTGGCAGATGGGGAAAGAGGTGTGAGGATGTTTGGTTTGCTTGTATTGTTTTTCGAGGAGAATTAGGGTTATATAGTTCAGGATTCTTCGCAGTCAAGGAATGGAGAAAAATGAGGTTCCAAATTCCAATGGTGTCATCCAGTGCCTCTGCTTCCGTTGATTCTGCATGCGCGTTGCAGTGGACGGCCCAGATTTACTTTCTAACGTTCAAAATCATTCAAATTTGTATGGCCGTAACCCGTACACAAATCCACTTCTTATCATGAACGTAGTCTTAGTCAATTACGGTTTATATCTGAGTGAGTTTTCAACTCTTTTTCTCCTCTTTTTTTCTTATTTATGTTATAAATCAATAAATTAAAAGACAAGTATCAACAAAATTTAATAAAAATTATTACAATTTTTTTAATTAAAACAAAAATAATATTAAATAGACTATTTTTTTTAACTTATTTACATGTTAATAAACTTTCTCAACACGTAACCATTGCTTAAGCATCAATCAAGATCAAGCATGGAGAATTTATTGAAATCACCACAAATGCAACGTATCTCAGAATAAGTAAATAAAAACTCAAATAAGCAAAAAAAAAAAAAATAGTATTCTCAAAAAATCAGGCGAAAACATTTAAACGAAATTAGAAAAAGGGGAAGTTTCATGTAAGAAAGCATCCAGTTAAACGGATTAATAAAACTATATAAGTGTGTAACCATATTAATAAAATAATGCTTTTAAGAATCAATAAAATCATATTAAATTTATTAAAATTACTATAATAACAAGTGTAAAATTAAAAATGTATTCAAATTTCTATTTGTGGCTCTAGTAAGAATTTAATTTTTCAAATGCTTTAATTTGTGTCGTTTAATGCTTTAATAATATTGATGTGTGTATATTAATTATATTTTTTACTTACTTTAATACAAATAATTTTGTAAAATGTCATAAAGAAATGTAATAAATAAACCAAGCAAGTTTGTTAAAATTGAACTAATATCTTTAATTGATAAAAATAGTCCAAATTTTTTTATGAAAAAATTCATTACAAATTAATTATATTTTTATGAGCTTCAACATAGTTAACGATATAAAATAAGTTTATAATAAATGAAAACATTGTATAATTAAGCAAGTTGAGTTTTAATCTGTTAAGAAAAGTAGTTTCTAGAAAAAATTGATTAAATTATTCATATTTTTATTAGTTTTAATATAAATCAGAATTATAAAGATGGTAAGATAACTATAGCAAGCTAATTAAAATATAATAAATCCATTCAACTAAGAAAACTAGTTTGATTTTTTCATGATAATTTGGTTAAAACCAACTACAAATTTTATTAGAATCATATTAAAAAATTGATTCCAAATTATATTAAAAAATCACTTTATATATAACAATATGTTATTCATATATTACACAATTTATGTTTTATTTTGTGTTAATTAACATAGAATAAATAACATATTTTATCTCAAAATGAGTGAATTTTCTTTTACTTTAATCATTTAAAATTTTCAAAAATCCTTAAAATTATCTTTAAAATAATATATATATATATATATTTAAATGTTAAGTAACACAAATATAAATTATAATTCATCTCATTTAAAATAGTTAATGCGTTATTTAATCTTAAGACAATATTTTTAAAATTGGATTGATTGATGATTGAATGGTTAAAAATAGGGATTGATAATATAAAGATCCGGAGATTTAATAAAATAATAATTTTATAATATAATAAATTCATTAAAAATGATATTTAATATATACAATTTAAGAGAATGAATTCATTAATGTTGGGTCGTTCACTCTAGCTTTAGCCCAACTCACGCAGAAAATATCTTTTGATGTTTTCACCTACTATTTGTCATCATTCATTTCTCACTCCCTCAATCTTATCTTCTCGACTTTTCTCCTTTCTTTCTCATCGATTATTCTTCTGCTTTCTCTTTACATAGATCAACTCGTCTCTGTTTCACTAATTGACAAAAAGCTATGTTTCTTTTTCTTTTGTTTGAATCAGCGACACATCTTTTTCTTATTCTAATCACATTCTGCAGGTTTTGTACATGATCGAATAACACCAAGGAGCATCCTTTTTAGAAGATAAGAAGATAAGTACTAACAAACTTTTATTATTTTTTTTCACACTCATTTACATGAATTGAGATAGTAGTTAATGGTGTTTGGTTTTGTTTCTAGTACAAAACCAGAAATCTATTAGTCTAAAACCGTTTTCCTGTTACGGTTTTGGGTTACAAATAGTCAACACCACTTAAGCCAAAACCCTAGTCTAGTCATCCCCAGTTTCTCCTTAAGCTTGTCAAACTGCGCTTATTTCAGCGGTTTGGTAAAGATGTACATTGTTTGTTCTTTTGTGTTGCAATAGACTAGTGTCAGCTTCTCCTTGCTCACTTGATCACGAAGGAAATGAAATTTCGTATCAATGTGTTTGCTCCTTCCGTGTAGTGTAGGATTCTTAGACAAATTAATTGTTGATTTGTTGTCAATGTTGAGTTGAACTGATTTCCTGTAATCCAGCTTCAGCTCCTTTAGAATTCCTTCTAGCCACAAACTCTGACAAGCTACTTCTGAAGCAGCTATGTATTCTGTCTCACATGAAAACAGAGCCACCACCTTCTGTTTCTTAGAGCACCAAGAAATTGGTGCATCTAAGTATCTGAACAAGTACCCATAGGTGATTCTCCTTTCAACCTTGTCTCCACACTAATTTGAGTCAGAGAATTCCTCCAGCACTACTTCATTCTGTTCATCCTCCTTTGGAAAAAATATTCCCCAATCTGTAGTACCATTTAGATACCTCAATATGTGCTTGACAGTAGCCATGTAGGGGGTTCTCGGATCATGCATAAACCTACTTATCAAACCAACTCCGAAACTCAAATCTGGCTTACTATTACAAAGGAACCTTAATGAGCTAACAATATGCTTATACAAGGTTCCATCCACAACCTCAACCTCCTTTTCTTCTGTCAGTTTCAGCTCAGGTAATATTGGAACTGCTGCTTCATTACATTCATCCATTCTGAATATTTTCAGAACCTCCTCTGCATACCTCTTCTGATGTAGAAACACCCCTCTATTTATGTGCACGAACACAAGTCCAAGAAAATAGTTTAGTGTTCCTAGATTAGTCATCTCGAATTCAGTCTTCATTCTACTTTTAAATTCCTCAATTTCTGCCTCCACACTTCCTGTAACAATTAAGTCATCGACATACAATGAGTATGTTTGCATGACTTGTGCTCTTCACATACACTCCAAACTCAACTTTGCACTTCATGAATCCCAATTTAGCCAATACTGCATCAATTAGTTTGTTCCAGGCTCTAAGGGATTTCTTGAGCCCATACAGAGCCTTTCTCAGCCTGTATATTAAATGTTTTCTTCCTTCTTTCTCAAAACTAGGTGGTTGTACAATGTACACCTCTTCTTCTAGTGGACCATTAAGGAAAGTTGACTTCACATCCATCTCAATCATCTTCAAGCCTTTTGAACTTACCACTGTAACACCCTTTTCGAGATGCCACGTGTAATTTTTTTTCCACAATTATTTTATCTTAAATAACACTTGATAAAAAAATTTATCCTAAACCTTTTTATTTATCAAAATAAAATATTGTTCATCCAAACAACTAACTTAAACCATCAAAATGAGACTTAATACCAAATCTTTCCAGTGCAAACTCAAAATCACTACACTATTACATTATATTCAAAAGGACATTTTCAAATATCTTAAAAAAAAACTCTCAAAAAAGCTTCCTCACGAGCTCCTCACCGCTAAGCTTCTTTAACAGTATCTGCATCAACATTTACTTCCGTATAACACAAGTCATACGATCTTCGCGGGTGGAAACCAATACCACAAACATGCAAGGGTGAGCAAAACATGTATCTCATCACATATCATGCATGTCATCATATAATTCACCTAACATTATCATAATGTAACAAATCTCATTCATAATATCCACAAGTACATATTTTCAACACTACAATAATAACATTTTATCATACTACCACCAAGTAAAAACAAACGGTATAAAATTCTCTCATAGCCAACTCTCATACTTTTCCTACGCACCAACGCCTCTTGGAAAAGTCCCTATCATATTGTCACTAAGTAAAAAAAGACGGTATAAAATTCTCTCATAGCCAACCCCCATACTTTTCCTGCGCACCAATGCCTCTTGGAAAAGTCTCTTCCCCTGCTTTCCATAGACTTACTAGCAACAACTTCACCCCCCGACAAAGCCTTGGATGAAACACTCTTGCTAAGTTCATGCTAAAGACTTACGGAGGAACGAAACCCCTTTATCATGACTCGATAAAGTCCTCTAGGTAAAGAAATCATTCTGGTTTTACGGCTATCAAAGAACTCATATGGTTCCCTCACATATATACACACATGCATAAAACATCTCATCGCAGATCAAACATACCTAAACTCATCATGTAATTACATATCATAATCCAAGTATTATTTCCTTACATTTAAGGATTTTAACATGTAACTTCGATAAATTCTGCACCAAAATAATATAGACAACAACGATAAAAAAATAAAAACAACATAAAAAAACAACACCAGCAAAACTCATCTGCAACAACAACACAAAATAAAAATAGCAGTAGCATAAAATAAAATCAGCAGAAACAACAT